GGCTTCATATATGTCCTAAAAAAAATTTTATGCTTTATAATACACCTTTCTGGTCTGTCCTAGGATATCACTGGCAGCCCTCACTATAGCAGAGAATTGTGTTCTCCTCTATTCAGTTGTGATGTGTAGGGGTGCACGGGGGTGCACATGCACCCCGAGAGTGCTGGTGCATCTCCTGACAGCCAGCATTTCCCACTTAGGCGATGGGTGTGGGAGCAGGCGGGAGTGCTGGTGCCCCCCATGAAAGCACCGGCCGGGGAGTGGGGGCACCAGGAAAAGCGCCACTGGCACTTCCGGGTCGATGTGATCAGCTGCAGGGGGACCCCCCCCGCTGGTCGCTGATTGGCCACTGGGGTGGCAAGTGCACCCCCGACTCAGGAGGCACCAGTTGCCCATGCCTCTATTTTACTACAAGCTGGAGTCTCCAAACTCTTTCCATTGCCTACATCTGCTGTACTGCAAAATGGCCATTTTGGAGTAAATCTGAGCTTTGTCTTCCGTACCAATTGAACATGCCACTGGTCCAGACTTATGATTCTCCACAAAATTCAAACAAGTTTTCCCATTGCCACATATACCCAATCCTGCTCCATCTTTGCCATAAGTGGTGGTATTTGAAGACTTAATCCCAACAAAACCAAACTACCTGATAGGGCAAGTGAGCAGAGAAGTAACAGCAGAAAGAGATTCTATTAATTGAGATCTTGTGTAGTTTTTAAACTGATGTGGACAGAGTTTCTCCACTCATTAAAACAGAAGCACCAGAATGAAAGGCTTCTTAGCTTTACACAAACCTGACCTCCGAGTCAGAATTTCATTTGTCCGAAATAAATAGCCATCAGTTATCTGGAAAAAAATAATCCTTTAAAAGACTGAGAGAGAATGTCTTTCAGTCATTTTACAGTGAATTTGTGAAAATATGCGTGAGTGACCGAATGCTAGGATTTACAGTCTATCATTCCAGACCCACCAACCACTCATCTCAAAAGGATGTCAAGTTGTCAACTACTGTGTCCAATTCCTGTGAAAAACCAGGGAATGCAAAGCAGAGCTAAGTATCCTGGGATCATACATGGTAAGCTATGCAGAAGTGCATCCTCACAAAATCACTTTGATCTAGAAAGGAAAGCTGTAATGTCACGCACCCCCTTAAAGGTTATAGTCTACGCCCATATGCTGTGGCAGAACGCCAACACCACTAAACCTACACGAGTGGCTGATGCTCATGTCTTTGCTTGAACATTTCCTGTGAAGCAGAGTTCACCACACCTCTTGGCAAGCCTGTTCTCTGGCCTAATTGATCATAGGGTTATAAAGGTTCTTCCTCCTATTTAAGCAAGCCTTTCCTCCCTTGATCTCATTATTCCTCATCACTGACATCCAATAAGGTTTCATTTAGTGAGCAGCAAATCTCAAAAGAGTTTGAATGAACCCTGATCCTGAGGGGAGGAAGCAAATCAAATGGGAAAACAGGGTTTTAATGTCCTTCATTTTAGCTGCTTAATTGTAATCCCAGATCGCTCAAGTCTTTTTCTACAGGGCCTGCTCTTCACTGGTTGTATTTAATACAAACCAAGCAACGGGTTTCAGAAAGGCATGCCAGCAGAAAAGGCAGCGCTTAGAAAAGGCAGTGCTTAGAAATGAGACTAAGCTGCCTATAATTCCTTTACCTCAAGTCTCAAGGGGTGCCTATACATCTGCAGTGAGGCTGCTCTGACATGCTGTAATTACAGTGTGTCAGAGCAAACTTAATTAACTGAGTTTGCTGCAGCATGGTAATGACCACACTCCAGCACCACACGTTCAACAAGCTTTAGTTAAAAGTGCCCCCAGCTGCCATTTTTCACCACAGGGACACTGATACACATGACACTCTAGGCGCTTAAATTAGAGGAGCTCTCAGAGCCATGCTAATTAAAGCACCCCTTCCCCCCTCCCGCAGCACATGTATAAACGCCCAAGGTTCCTAGTAGCCCTGACCATGAAAGCCAGCTACTGCCTACGTCCATGTCATCCTCAATAATGTTCTTAGGTAGTTAGGGAAAATGCTTCTTATCAGCCAATGAGGCACACTGTCAAGAACCATGGCAGCAAGAAAGCTAATTAATCCCCAGCTGGTCCTGATTCTCTGAGTGGACCTGGCTGCCATAGCCTAACTACCCCTAATTACCCCAGTTGTCTGCATGGGCATGGCTGCCTGCTTATAAGTAGGAGTTTTTCAGTGCCCAGCAGGCTACTCACCAGAAGAGAACCATGAAGAACAAATAAGCCATGAAAATCGAAGTCCTCTCCCTTTCACTAACTAGTTCTCAGAGCTCAGGAGTGAAGCATATTAGTGACGTGGCAAGTCACAGTTTGCACATCTGTGACTTTCTTCTGTTCCTACTTAGAGCTATTGATCCAACCTTTCTCACTTGCACAAAATCCCATTCCAAAAAAAACAGAATAAAACCAAATGTGTATGTTGGTGTCTTGGGTCTGATTTAAGTTACTTTTTACCTTTACAAGACACCCCAATACAATTAAGCTCAGAGGCCATGTTTCAGGGAAACCCCATCTTCCCTTTCAGTGACCAGTTTCTAATTCCAGGACTGAAAGTCTGAAATCCTCTTCCTCTTTGGTTTACATGCTGACTGCCTAGATAGGTTGTTATCTCATTGCTATCACCACAAGCTGCATCTAAAGAAAGATAGAGCAGGGCCTTTAGAGGGGTTCCGGACATTTTGTCTCCCAAGAGGCCAATCCACAATTTCTTCTACAGCCATAAAGAACAATGAAGCCAGAGGAATTTCTTTCTGCTCTACACTCTCAGAATATACTTCTCCCGTTCCCCCTGCGTGGTTGCTTTTGATTAATTTTCACTACTCAAAAAGAATTTTAATAACTTCATTCTGTTGATGCCAGACCTCCATTTGTGGGAGTCCTGAGGTGGTTTTACAGGCTGAGAGATAATTTCCAAGGGGGTGGAGATTAGGTGTGGCTGATTAAAATTGGCCTAAAGCTGCAAGCGCTAAACTCTTTAGTGGCATCTGCACACCAAGAGCTGCTAGCTATTGCTTCAGTGACAGGAGATATGTACCACCAAAGCTGTCCTTAGAAACTAAAGGGTATCTGAATTATTTACAAAATCAGGTTATAAAGGTGCAGATCAAAGAACAGTGTGAAGAGATGCTTAGAAAGGATGTGGTCACTGGATTTAATTACATAGAATCATAGAGAAATAGGGCTGGAAGGGCTTTGAAAGGTCATTTGTCCAATACCATGCCCAAAGCTGGATCATCCTTACCCAAATCATCCCATACAAAGCCATCGTCTAACCTCTTAGCAAAACTATGCAGTTAACCCTGACCCAACACAAGACATAACACCCTAATGTGCTACAAGTAAGGCAAGGGGAACACAGCAGCCAATGTCCTGCTGCTGCAAAGATTGTTAAAATATGCTCAAGAGATCACAGGTACAGGTTCCCTGCTACAGGGGAAGATGAAAAACTCCACAGTTCATACAAATCTGACCATGGGGTAAAACTCCTTTCCTGATCCCAAATATAGTGATTGGTCTGACCCTGAGCAGAGAGGCAAGACCTTCTAGCCAGGAACCTCCAGACTTAAGTCCCAGCAGGAGCATGGTGGAATCTGCTTTATTGTACCCTCTTTTCAGATGTACACTGTAAAACCTGGCTTGTCCAATGCCTCCTGGACTCAGCCACATGCATTTAGTGAAAGCTCCACATGAACCTGCACTGTAGGTATTTGATGATCCTTCTGGGGCTTGCCAGGAAAGATCTACAAGACCACACTGAACTTAGCCCAGAGGTGGACAGCAATAGAGTTTCACCCCTGAGAAGGGACAGAAGAAGTTTTACAATATGTACATTCTTAATAGGGAACTTCACAACATGGATTCACTTCCTTCCTTGTCTTTCTGTGCATAAGCCCACATTTGCATCATAAGAACTTGAGACACCACCAATGACCAACTGAGTGGAAGTCAGGAAAGGAAAGGGGTTTTTCAGCATCTATCATTCTTCAAAATGAAGAGAACTGTTTGTTTTCAACCTGATGGAGAGTGCTCGGGGGGGAATCACGTTCCAACTTCTAGATGCAGATTTTAGAAAAAGAAACAAATTAGGAATATGCCCCTGATGCCAATCACATGGGTTTGTTTGTTTTTTAAAGATGAAGCAAACATTTATCATTCATTTTTTTCTAAGCAAAAACATCTGAAAAAGTTAACTACTGGTACATTCCTTCCATTCACGAGTGAGACGGTAAGTAAGCTCCCCTGGGCTCACAAGAGCTTCTGCAAATCATTAGATGCAACTTCACAATGGCCCAGCTATATTAGAAGATCTATCTTATAATAGACCGGCCCAGCACTGACACCTCATCCTGGTTATTTACTCAATTATAGACCCAAAAAAGATGCACATAAGGAGGCACTTGAGTCAATTTGGCAACCCTACACCACATGGGTTTATTCAGCTGAGCAACCTGGTCAAGCTGGGACAAGAAATTAAAAGCTAAGTGACAGAGTATTGCCAGAGCTGAGAATTACCATCATTTTCTGCCAGACACGTGAAACCACCCCAAACTGCCTCCAATCTAAACAGCAGCAAGCTTCAGAAGGGATTCCTCAGGTTAGGTTAATTACCAGAAAACTAGTAAGACTGAAGCCTGGTTCTCTCTTTCTTTCATACATTCAGACTACAACCCAGAAAATAAATTCTTTCTGCATTTGGCTTCCATTCCCTACCCCCATCCTCTGTACCAGTAATCCCTACCTTATTCATGGTATTTCGGTCTTTTGTGACTGGAACCTTGGTCTCCTCTCCTTTCTACTCTAACATTATATCATTATTAATATTTGTATTGCAATGACCTCGAGAGCCCCACACTAAGATCAGGGTGCCATAGTGCTAAAGTCTGCACAAACACATGGTGAGGGAGAGCCCACACAAAGAAGAACTTTCAGTGCAAATAATGAAAATAAAATAGAGGCACATGGAGGTTGTGGGAACTGTAGGTCATGGACAGAGCAAGGAAATAGTGTAGGTCTCCTGTTCTCTAGCATATGTGCTCTGAGCATTAAACAATTTTTCATCTTTCAACCTCTGTACCAGGTCCCACCTGGATGAAAACCAGGAACTATTGCTGTTGACCAGTGACTTTTTCCCATTCAGCTGTGGATGCTATAAACTTTTGTGGAGCTAGATCTTCACATATAATCAAGTTTGGTGCAGCCCAAGATGCTCTGAAGCTTAGAGCAAGCACAACTAAATGGGAGCAATAGACAATCACTAAATAAGCAAGGTTTTCGGTTCCAACATGCATTAACACCCTAATTTATGAAGGTAAAACCCAATGGGAATTTCAGACATGTAAGGAGTACAGGGCTTGCTGTGATCACGATTACAGCTGATCACTCAGAAAGTAAACCACCTGCCTACCTACCCGGAGCACCTGAGACTACCAGAGTTGTCCCTCTAAACTTAGAACAAGAGATCTCTGTGCTGTGTGGCAATGATTAGTATATGCTGATTTATTAACAGCTGTCACTGCAGATAATTTAGCCCATACTTTTTATATTTATGACAGAAATCACTTAAAAATTTTTTACAGAAGCCATGGAGTAGAGCTTTGTGACATCAGTACCTAGATAGAGTAGCAATGGATACCCTTGAATGAAATCATATTCAACTAGAGTACAAAGCGATTGAAAGCCTTTAAGTAATACAGTGCTATTGACTTTTAAGGTGAAACTTAGTAACTTTAAATAAGTTTCTAACGTGGAAAATGAATACCTTCTAAATATGTGCCATTAAAAAAATCTATTCATGGAAGTGACACTTCCTAAAGTCCAATCCTGTGGAAAATGGAGTTTTACAATATGATAATACACACACACACTGGGCCCATCTTCATGTGACGCTATGGCGACATAGCAACGCACTATGGAAACATAGCGTCGGCAGTCACAAACTGTGACGCCGCCATGACGTCGCTGTAGCAACGCACTCCCTCGTTATAATACATTGCTATGACAACGTAGCAATTAAAAAGAACCACGTGTGGTGTGCGTGGCACAGTATGGGCTGTTACTGCACCATCACTGAGTGCTTCCTTTTGGAAGTATTGAATGGCAGCACAGTAACAAAGGCACCGTAGGGACATATGTAGATGTGCCCTCGGTGCATCAATCCAAAAGATGCACTACATTTGGTATTGTTGAAAGTGCATCCTGCCTGTACCTGGAATCTTGTCCTCTCTGCAGCATAGACCTGGTAATGAAGCATGGCCTGCAGGACTTTCTTGTGGCCATCTGGTACCAGGCAGACCGCTCCTAGGATCTCCAACACAGCAATCTTAGTCTTGATGTTCTCAGTCCGTAAGCTCTGGGAAATTATGTTAATGCTTTCTGGATGAGCTAGGACATGTGCCCGTCCCTGGGAGTTGTTCATCAATGCCTTGATACACCCTATAACAGATGTATGTATGCGGCTCTCTGAGGTCTCATAGTCCATGCTCTTCAGAAAGTTCAACAAACAGCTCAGGCCATCCAGCTCAATAAACCTGGTCACAAATCTGAAAAGGAAGAGAAGAAAATAGACTGAAGGCAAATTATACAGCAGACATCAAGTAAATGGAGCATGGAACTGTAAGAACAGACGGGTTTCTTGCCTAAAGAACTCTGGACAAACCCTGGGTTTTTTACACAGAATTGCATTCTGCCTGTTTACAATCCCATTATTTCTCCAGATCTATGTACTTGGGTAGTGCAGCTGTATGCCAACAAAGAGCTATCTTGTTCCATCACAATATTTGGTTCATTTTGAGTAGTTGGTGAAAAGATTCCTACACGCTAACATAAAACCTTTTTAATTGACGGACAGACACTTACATATATCCATGACTATACTGGACCTTAGTATGGATTCAAATTAATCTGAAGACTATTGTCAGCTTTAGGTCCCAGCAACTCATATGATTCTGTATCCAGGATTCCTACACAAATGCACCCAGCTTCACTTTACAGCTATGGCAGATGAACTCCAGAAGGATGGTGATGCACATAGGAGGGAGGTATACTGCTCTGGTACTAACATCACTCTTGTACCAATCCATACATTACATAAACTAGGGGTGAAGCAGACTCATCGGTAGCCTTAGATACCACATAGGTATAGTATAAGAATGCAAACAGATGCTTATAAGAATAGTGAAGTTGCAGAAGGGATTGAAAGGACTAAAGCCATGTTGGAATTCATTTTAGAGTAACTTTTCAAATCACTGGAGCTCTGAGTGAAATTTTCATAATGAGAATATATACAATTTGACTTATTTCAGGTAAAGATTATACGCCAATCTGTGGCTGGAAACAATAAAGGAAAAAAATAATCCACAGAGGCTCTATGGTTGTATTTAAAACCAAGAAAAAGCTTTAGTGGGCCAATTCATCCATGAAATCAATTCACTGAAGTCAAATAAGTCTGTTAAAGTCAGTGTAGTTAGACTAAAAATGAATTCAGTCCATTGGTTATAGCTGTTTCATTTTGAGTTTCCATCAGATTTAAGATTCTCAAGTCCTATGCAAAGCAAGATGACCATGACCTCATCCAGTTCTCTAAACCATTTAAGTACTCCCCTACCACTCTGAAGTCTATCTGATATTACTTTTAGTGATAGTGGAGCCAATAGAGTTGGGTGCATGTGTGTGTCTATGCCTGCGAGAGCCTCACTCCTAGATGTGAAGCACCAAGAGTTGTATAGACCTAAACCTGCCAATGGTTTTTAGGCTAGCTTGAATACATAGCTCTCATACTATAGTCCCATGTGCACTATGAACACAATAAAGTAAGGGTGAAAAACCAAGTGAATACAAAAATCGACAAACTGTTTGACCCTGTGATATACTGAAAGCACAAAAGCCTTCACACCTTTAATCCTAAAATTTCACCTAGCACTGAGTAAGGTGGTCTCTCTTACTATCTATACTAAACATTTCTAGTGTGCTATCTTCTCATAAACTTCTTGACTCTGTTCATTGATATTATTGCTACAGTGTATTTTCCTCTGTATCTGTACAACCTGAGTTAGGTTTGATATCTCTTCTTGGATTACAAATGAGAGGAGTAACAGTTAAGTAAAATGGACAGTGATAGGTGCATTGCATGCTAAACCAGTAAAGAGTAATACCCTGCCTAATGCAAAAAAAAGTCCAGAGTCAGCTTAGATTCAGTGCAACAGCTGGCTTTACTGGATCTAGAACATCATCCTGTGTTGTAATTAAATAAATGTTGCTCATAGCTTATCAAGAACTAGGAGTACCAACCCAGGAAGCTCTCAATGTCTCTTCTCTGCATATGAGAACACACTTAAGTTTTATTTGCATATCTATTTCACAACATCTATTGGTTACAGATATTCCAGTTCTGTGGCTGATATGTCATACGATTGATCATATGAGGAATTGCAGGGACTACCTGAAAGATGAGCCAAATAAAATGTGGACTGCCAAAATTCAGGCTTAATTGGGCTAACATTTTTAACAAGAGCACAGACAAAACCCAGTATTCAATATTTCCAGTGGAGCTTTGTTTTGAGGTCTAGGCTTTGTTTGAACCTGAACTTCAAAGCAAACATCAGGATGGAAGGGAGGGGTAAATGCACATACATCAAAAAATGAACACAACAGAGTTTTCGCGAGCCCAGCTCAGCAGAACTGGCCAACTTTACACATGCCTGATCATACTAGCCTCTTGTTTCGGGTAAACCATTCTAACACTCTACCCTACAAGTCAAAGAAGCAAATGCTCCTCCCCTTTGGGACTAGAAGAGAGAGATCACATTTAGTGCATTGGCAATTTAGTAAAACAGGAATATAGGACTGGAAGAGGACTCCCAAGACATTGAGTCCAGCCCTTTGCATTTTGGGGCAATTATTTACTAAAATATCATCCACTCCAAAACCTCATATAAGATAGCTACAAGAAACACCAAGAACACCTTGCAGCAGGCCACAGGTAAAAAAAAAACAAGTTGGGGAGGGCACTGCCATTGCCCTGCCATTGCAATGACATGAAAGTAATCGATTAGTGTATGACCAGCATTCTAAGAAGAGTGCTACACCACAGCAAGAACATCGCCAGTCCATGGGAATCTGACCAAGGGAAAATTTGTTCCCGACTGCAAATATATAACATGCTTTGCAATTTTAACTGGCTATAAGAAAACTTAAAAGCAGCTCAGTTTCTGCGACCAATTGGTTGTTAGTGTGTCTGCTGAAACTGTAATTAATGAAGTCCTGGTCAGCTCTGGGGTTTTATGCCTGCTGGGGAAACATGATCAAAGGGAAAGACTATTAGCCAACATAATTAGCCCAGGCTATCAAACATCAACAGGATGTCAATGGTTTTAAGATGCTTCTCCAGCTATAACCTGGAAAAGCCTAAAATTTACTCCAGTACAACTCTGAATGGGCTGGCACTAGTCTCTTTACATACCATGAACTCTTGAGTCCTGTCACATGTTCTCTGAATACAGGTATGCACAATGATTTTCTACAGACTCCTTAGTGAAAACAAGGCCTTCCTTGACTCAAGCAACAACCAGTGTCAAAAACTTTGTCATTCACACAGCTGCAGGCTTAAGGGACGGACTAAAAACTGGTGCTGTCTTGTAGTTCAAAAAAACAAGCCTAAAGACAGGTGGTGCACTCCCTCCTGCTACTAGTCATTATGACTTCCACAGTGCTGAAGACCAGGTGAAATGGCATTTGAGAAAGACATGTCACGTTCTCCTGGATTAGTACAATACCCAAATAAATCTTTTCGCAGAGCAACATTGTTAGGACTCTTTGGGTGAGGTCGCTCCAACAGGAGGGCAGGTACAGGAAAAAGCTGTGTGTCATAGGCCTTGATTAATAACCCAATTTTAAGTAATGTTGGGATTTTCCTGTACCCTGTCTGGTTCAAGAAAGCAAAACGTTAAACTCTGTTACTCAATAGGAAGCACATCTGAGTACCTCCCCATCGCAGCTGATATTAGAAGTAGAAATAAAGTAAAGATTTTCATCTTCCTTTTCCAAAACATTCAGTTGCCCGTCCTCAGAAAAAGTTAAAAATCTTATGTAAGAAAGATAAACTGGGAAGTCCCGCTCTTCAGCTATCATTTTCCCTGTCTATTGTCTGGCACTCATGCGTGCATATGAGAGAGAGAGAGAGAGAGGGGTAGAAGAATTCAACTCAGTTGAGTTCCACTCTTACTACCATGTTCACTTGACTCTTTTCCGTATCTTGGGTATGTGTATGTAGCACAAAACAGAGTTGTTCAGAGATAGGTAAACTAGTTCTTAGTTTGGATACTGAGAGTAACACAGTTGCGTTAGCATGGTGCTGTGCCTGGGCTGAGAAGCAGGGTGTACTAGCGTAGGAAGATGCAATTTTACTACTTCTAGGACCCAAACACCTGGGTACAACATTTCTTGGACCATGTATGTAGATATGCTGTATGTATGTATAGACCTGTGGGCACACATACATGACTATGCATGTCTAAAATGGGGAATGCAGGTCATAGGGATGACCACCAGTTTCTCTGTGTCATTTATGCCCGTGTCAGAACATCATCCCATATGCTCTGTACAATACACATTAAGGCCTCGTTCTGTTCTAGGATTTAAAGGTGTGAAGTCAGCACATGTTTGCCAACATGATCTAACACATTTTAAAGTCTAGCATAAACAAGCCAGCATTTACTTTAATAGGTGCCAAATAGGTCAGATTAAAAGCCTAAACTGGTCCTGGGCTTTAACTCAACCAATTTAGCAGGGTGCTTTTTGGCTGCAGTTTCAGAGCATGGTAGTTAGAATGTGTTAGCTAACAAGTCCTAACAGCACCCCTTTTATCCCAAAACAGACGAAGCTGAGGAGAGCAGTGATTTTTTCCCCCCATTGCTGTGTCTTATGTGCTCCTTTCTTCTTGTATATATTCTGCTACAGCCTCTCTGTGAGATATGACAGCTTGGGAAAGGCGGAAAGAACATATGCTGGGGGTGTGGGGAGGGCAGGATGTTCCCACCCTGCTGACAGTCAAGCCAACATTTCCCAGGCTAACTGCAGCACTGGCCTTTGGATCAGGAGACATGCACAGCCTTGACATGCATTGGATCCCTGCCCTGCCTAAAAATCTTAGCTGAATGAGCTGCACTTGCTAGATACATTAGTGATCAGCTACAACACAGGAGTGTGACCCAGCTAAGCCCAGCCAAAATAAAGCAAGCTCAGCCTCCTTTCATTTTAAATCTAGTAAAACAGAGATGGAGAAGGGCAGAAGGGCGAAGATACTAATTGCTGATGGTGGAACCAGTTCAGACCTCTTTTTTCCTTTGGCTTTCAAACTCGATCCAAAAATCTTGGCAGGTTCCAAAAAGTTGCCTTTATTTCTACAGACCCTCTTTTTTTTTTTTTTTACTGTCACAGTGATGCTGCACTTCCATATTTGAGGGCCGCAATATCAGATGAAAAGCTGCTTGTTCACTGCTTCTGGTCCAAGAATTTGTAATTACAACTGTTTACAGTAACCACC